ATGTGTTTTTTTAACCTTTTTTGAGTCAAAAAACTAAACATATTCCCTTCTGTTAGCTTCTCAAGCAGGAGGATTCAGCTTCTGTTCTTTATTTTATGTGTTGCTATGTGTTGAACACCTTTTGAATTTGAGGCTTGTAAATCCAAATAAGTCCAATTGACAAGCAATTCAAAGCTGTGGGCAAACGTGAAGTATCACCTGTCATTATATGTTCTGACAATCATTTGACCAATTTAGGGAGATAACAATCAGCAGATTTATAGTTTGAGTTTCTTTGCTTAAATCCACAGGCGCCAGTTTTCTCTGGACTTCATCGGAAATAGGTCCAATGAAGACAGATACTGTATCTCAAAATCTGGACATATAAAATGAAAATCTTCAAGTCTCATACGTTGTTATTCCCACAATTTATGACCTCTTTTCCTTGTAACTCCTCCCAGGCGTCTAATAACAGGCTGTAATATCACCTACATTTGTTCTCGCAGCAATGGGACAAGAGTCTATTAGAAACTTACTGACCTTAGCAAGCGTTTTTTGTTCAGCAGAACAACGAGTGGAGGACAGAAAGAGCAGTTCTCGTCCCTGGCGGCTCGGTGTGAAGCGTCACGGGTCTTATTAAGTGGACCAGGTTTAACAGGGTTGGGAAAATAGTGAATATCCTCTCAGAGTAACATGATAACAAAGGTATCCCAACTGTAGTAGTGAACATGACAGGATGTGTGATTAAGAGCATCAGGACTGTTTGAGGCATATGATAGCTATGTGATTAACATGATGATTCAGCCTCTATGGAGAGAGACATATGACAAGCATGCTCATTTCTGACGTGGAGCTAATCTGAAGTAAACATTGAATACTGCTTTCTATTCCTCCATCTTGTGACTGTGTAACTCCCTCTCTTGGATATCAGCATGTGAAGGACACTGTTCAGGAACTAGTTGATGCTCTGTATGTGATGACTACTTCCATTCTGGAGAGGATCACAGATACATGGATCCTGAGATTGAACCTCAAGCCGGGGACCAGTGAGATTGTTCTAACAAACAGCGAGCCTCAGCAAACGACTCATGGAACAAATGAGTGTTCGCTTCCCTCACCTGCTCACTGTGCAGAAATGTCAGAGAGAGAGAAGCAGCCGTCAAGTCTCAGGCCCGCCGTCCATCAAACCTCCCTGAGTCGACCAATTCTCTGAGTGATGAACACTTCCAGGAATAAACGGGGGGCTCGAGGATCGATTATACGTCAGGCGAATGAATCTATCCCTTTGTGATCGCTCCTGGTTTTATTTCCAGGCTTGCCGTGATGGCATCAGAATAAAACAACACGGTTTGACTAAACTGAACACTTTTCCAACTCAAAGGTTTAAAATTAGAGCAAAAAGACACAAAGATATTCTTGTATGTCTTCTTCCAGCTTCTCGTCAAGGGGTTTCCTGGCTGTGTAAAGCAGGGGGCATTGGTCTGTTTATTCATATGGATTTATTACCTCGGTTCCCGTTGTCTGAGCATGAACTTTTCCCCCTTTGCGGTGAAATAAACAACGTCACCGCAGCGTATAGAGGACACACAGAAGGCAGCAGCTTGTTGAAATGTTACACCGGCCTGCTCAAAGTCACTTTCTGAGCGAGGGACCTCTGCAGACGTGTCGGACTCCTTGATGAAATGGAATAATCTTGGCCGAGGTCTCGATGTAGGCTTGTAAATCAGGCCTTAAATGGCCAGCTGACAACTGAACGTCAGCGAAACGAGTAGGTAGCAATCGGCCTGATGTGGAGCAGAAGCAGAGGCGCTCTTCGATTCCTCCGTTTCCCCGCTCCAGTCTTTGTTTTATTAAGGGTTTAGTGAACACATAGCCTGGTGAAAAGCTTCCAGATATTGAAGATACAGCTGGAAGTAGCTTTCTCAGCATATGACTGAAACGGTTTCCAAACGGTAACGGCATAGTCTTCTGTCATTGGTTACTGTTCTTTTTATTTGAAGTTACATCACTTTTTTTGGACTCTTCAACCAAGAATTGCTCTCATTTTCCTCACTGAGGTTTTGCTTTGAATGAATCCCTTTCAAGGTCCCTCGACACAACAATTTGACGCTTTGCTTTGGAATCTGAACTATGCTGTCTTTAAAAGCTGTCTCACTCTGAGGGGTCGAAGGTGAACAGGACTAACTGTACTGCCCCAAATATCACGATGTCTTGAGAAACATTTCCTCTTTGTTTGCTGTTGAATTTTTACGTCTTAACTCAAAAGATAAACCAAGCTTCTGTCACATTTCTGACATTTCTTGGACCTAATTTCAGTCCAAACTGTTTGTTTTACCAGTCTCTAATTCTATTTGTCCAATTTACCCACACATAAACAAGAAATTGTAACATCCTATTAGACACACAACCATGGCTGCCATAAAAGCAAGTAAAACGTGTCTTAATGATGGAGCAAGTACTTGAAATGGAGTGGTTTTACCCTGAACAATTTTAAGTGGGCGAAGGTAGAAAGGAAACGGGACAAATTGTTTTCAAATGGGTACAAACCATTAAAGAAAATAATAAAACCCCTTTATTTACAGCCATGTCTGCTTCTATAAACTCTGTAATTGTTACTGCACAGAAAATGGGATTCACCGTGAGAGGAAATAAAAAAGTTGGAGATACGTTTGACTTCACTTTAAACATTCCTACGTCCTTTAAACAGACTAGACAGAGGCAACACACAGCTGTTTTCCTTCATAAGTAGACGGGAACACACTTTTAATGACATCAGGGGGAAGAATAAAGTGTTTCTGGTCACTCCAAATTACAGTCATCTGCACCCCTTATCCCTGTGGCCTCTCCTGACCAAATAGCTGCCTAATGACCTTATCTAAATGTAATTACACCTTAATAGCTTTGAGGCCGGACGGGACATCGAGCCTAATTTGAGGGTTGCACCTAATGAGACCAGGTGGAGACGGGAAGTAAGTGGAGCATTTGTCATGTGAGCAACTTCTTTCTACACAAAGTTGGTGCAATGTTGCAATGAGTTCTTTAGTCGTACTTTCTCATGATGAAGAATAACCAATTATTTTTATAATATTCATTTTGATTGGTGGTCAAATCTTTGAAATCAGACCCTTAAGACTTTGAGGCATTTTCAAAGTAAGATAAGATGTACTTTATTAATCCAAATTTGTGATTTGTTTTTGTTGCAGCAGCATAAAACAAAACAAGGCATTGCACATAATAACAAATTAAAAGAGTAGAAATAAATCATTCTAAACCAGGGGGTCCTCGGGGTCTTAAAAAGTATTAACAGTTGATAAATCAATTTAGCGAAAATTAAGGCTATTAAAAAGTATTAAACGGCTTTTTCCAAGGTATTATATTTTGTAGCTTGTTTTCAATAAGTCTATAAATGGTCCAAAGAGGTTGTATTCTACAGTGTAATCATGAATGTAATCATTGCGTAGGTGTGTAGTGTGATTCTGTGTAGTTTATTGATGGCATCCCGTTGGGTTTGACGTCATCTGAACAGGACATCGCACGCTCACTGCTTGATAGCGCGAAGGTCCGTTTACGCCGGTTGCTAAGCAACATCGTTATGGGGAAATGCAAGTCTGCGTCCAAATGGTTGGAAGATAAGGAGGAAGGACAATCAATACTGTATATAGTCAATGTGAGGTAAAGTGTGTCGCCAAGGTAACCGGTTAAAACTCCAAGTGGCGATGAGGTCTTAAAATGTATGGAAAGGGTCTTTAAAAAGGTCTTAAAAGGTTTTACAGTAGACTTCAGGATTCCTGCATATACCCTGTAAAATATAAACATCTCAAAATAGAAATAGAAATAAACCAGCATTAGAGAGTAAGAAAAATATACAGATGAAGAGAAAAAAATCTATTAACGGTCTGACAAATAAAAAGGTAGCTTCTATAAAGGTTTATTTTTTAGTTTGTGTCTTGGCTGTTGGGCTCCTTCTTGGTAATTATGTCGATGACATTTCAGAGTTTATTTGACTGACCAACACTTTGGCCCAAAGGGAACCTAGCTTGAAACAAAAAAAAACGATTTTTGGTTGACATTCGTGAAAACCAGAGGATGATCTGCTAACTTTCCATCTATCCGTCCATCTTCTCCCGCGTATCCGTGGTCGGGTCGCGGGGGTATCAGTTCCAGCAGAGAGCCCCAAACGTTCCTTTCCCCTCATCAACCAGCTCTGACTGGGGGGTCCCAAGGCGCTCCCAGGCCAGCGAAGAGATATAATCCCTCCACCTGGTCCTAGGTCTACCCCTCCCTGACTTTTCATGTAAAACCAAAAACAGTTAAACATGTCTTCTTGCTCGGATAACTCCACATCGAAACATTTCTTTAATCTGAGCTATAATTTGAGAGAAATGCTAACATGCTAATAGTGCAATACTGTGTTGTCATGTTAGCATGTTGGTGTTGTTGTTGTGATATCAGCACTCTCAGTATTGTTTTTCTCAGATGTTTTACTCGTAGCAGTGGTTTTGCATTTAATGGTTCTCTACAAGTCAGACACATGTGCTGTTCTAGTTGTCCTCTGTGATAATGAGGACCTGTACAGTTGGCTTCGTGTATCGATGGAGAAACGTTTAGCTAATATGCTATTTGTTAACGTGCCCAAACTACAAGTGTGCAAAAACATTTCATTTAAAAGTACATTAAAAAGCATAAGACATTTTCAGACATAATACAGTATTAACAGATCGATATTTTTCACATACAATACATAATAATCTTATACACTACTAGAATTTGTTCAGCTATGTTGTCCTTTTACTTTTCTGTTTGTCTGTGTACATTTAGAGCAGTGTCAGTTTCCTTGTATCGCAATCATAATTTGCCAATAAAGTTGGTTCTAAAATCTGGTCAACGAATAATAAAAAAAAGCAGCTTTTTTGATGGGTATTAAAGAAGAATCAAGGGTCCAACACCAATCCCTACTTTGACAATGAACTGTTAAATGTATTATATGATTCTGACATTTATTTCTTCGGCCTGTGTTGCAGAAATGTGAGTTCAACATGGATAACCTGAGCAAGCCCGAGCTGCTCACCCTGCTGAGCATCATGGAGGGAGAGCTGGAGGCCCGCGACCTGGTCATCGAGGCCCTGAGGGTGAGTCCGGAAAACACACAAGAACACACACTCCTGTATTCATTAGCTAAGCCTCTGCTATCTTAACCATTGTCGAGGTTAAATCAAACCGCCTTTGAGATGAGCCGATAAGCTGTAATAATGACCCAGAATTTAGTTGTTCAATGAGTGATGAATGGTCACCAATGCCTGCTAAATGAGTGTGTTATTATCAGTGGCCTTTTCCCCAGAAATGTGCAGAACACTTGTGATGAGAGAGTCTGCCCCACTGTTTCTTTCTTTGCTTTGTAATTACCCACTGATAAGCAGTGTCTCTAATTGTGTCTGTTGGACGGGAGCTGGCTGAGCGACTGGTTAGCGCCTCCTGCCAGAAAAGTCCAGCGTGATCAAACCCTAGTGTCCAAAGAAGCACCACCTGCTGAAGTATCAGAACCAAACAGATGGTGGAAGTCACTGGTTCTGGCTCCTGTTGGTCCCTAGAGACTATTGACAACCAATTAGGAAGGTGCCGCTTGATTTAAAGGTGAAATTGTTGTTTTTTATTGGCATGTGTAGCGGAAGTTTTGGCTGAAATGCAAGGAAACAATGGTAAACTATGTATGTATGTAGTGGATTTGAGTCCATCCACTATTTGCAGAAGTCTGTCTGTCCGAAGATTGTCTGGTAAAACAGACAGATAAGCGACGGGTGCATTCGGTTTCCTTTTTTATGTATTTTTGCAAGAATTTGGCTGAAATACAAGGGAATAGTGGTAAATTAAATGTAGTGGATTAGAGCAGGGGTTCCCAACCTTTTTTCCCAAGAGCCCCCCCAAATGACTCCTGTTGGAAGTTGCGCTCCCCCCCACACACACACACACACAAGGAGGGGGGCGGGGGGGGGGGGGTGCAACAGCGGTAATTAAAGTTTCAAAGTCTCAAAATGCTACAACTACTGTCACAAACTGGATGAATGTGAAGTATGTTGTTAAAGGAGGATGAAAGCGTAATTAAGGAGCACTATTGGAGTGACTTTGATGGTTATTGGACTCAGGATTAACTCATTTGGATTCCCGCTGTATGAAGAAATTAAAGGACGGCGCGGAAGTGGAAACAATTCACAAAGGAAACTGTTTAAAACACATGCGCAAAGTAAGCCGGATTTTGCCGATGTGTTTATGTGGATTCAAAAGTCGTAAATAATCTACAAAATGGAGGAGACCGATCTGATCGGAGCAACTGACAAATAATCCAACTGAAACCGGCATGGACAATGACTATGTTTTAAAAATGCGCTTATCCAGACAAGCCTGGTTTGGACACTTTACGGCAGAAGAGACATTTCTATTAAAGAAAGAATGATACATTTCTGTCTTTTTATGCCTTTAATACTAACTTGAATTTTTATTAAAATTAATTAGTCAATTATTTTTTATATTTTATTGTAATGTAGAGACAAGGCTTTTAGTGACAATCATGTATTGCCTTACAATTCTATGTGGAAAAAAAAAAGTCTAAATATGATAATTGGCCTCAAATCATCTGAGGCCTGGCGCCCCCCCTGCGATCTTTGGCGCCCCCCCAGGTTGGGAAACACTGGATTAGAGGATGGTTAGTCAGTCCATCAAGTATTTGCAGAAATCTGTCTGTCTGAAGATTGTCTGGTAAAACAGACAGATGAGAGACGGATGCATTCAGTTTGCTTTTGTGTGTGGTTTTGTTTCTAAATGTTTGGGTCATTTTGATCAGTCTTGTGGTTTAAAAAAGTAATTTGCAGACAATTGGATGTCCCTTGTTCCCGACCAAAGCAGAACACATTGATGAACAATTTCTCCACAATCACACAAACCTACCAAGTAATATTAGTTGATATTAAGAGATACTATAAAGGACTGAACTTGGAAAGAACAGCCTTTTGTTTTAGCACCCAAAGAAAATATTTACTAGATTCAGTTCATCAATCATGGTTATTTGCTCAAATTCAAACTCCTGATAATTCAATTTCTTGATTCAAGGCCTTTCTCTAAACCTTATTGACTTATTTAGTACAGACTGATCAGTAAGATACAGCAAACTTGTTGTGAGCAAATAATAAATCAAGCAGACCTCGTAAGAGCGGCCAGTGTTTTTGAAATAGGGCAACATGACTTGGAAATAGTTTTGACTTATATTGTAATTGTGATTTTATTACTCGTATTGTTCTCATTTCTTGAATGTTCTGTTTTTCTTGCAGGCTCTGTACCTTATCTTGAGTCTTTAGAATACAATGTGTAGACCAGGAGCACAATACTTAATTCAGAGAATGGTATGTTTGACACAAATGCATCCTAAAACATACACTGCGCATCCTGCTTTTTGGATATCGCATCGTCCATATTGCGATTTTGGAACTGCATGATTATTTTGAATCCATAGATAGATAACGTTAATAATGTTACTGAAGTGGCAGCTTACATTCTGTGGATAGACTAATCTTCCTCTCAGTGTGGTGTGCTCTTCTTCTAAACTGTATGATATAAGACACGAGCTGCTGTGAGAGCTGTCAAACTGTGAAGCCATAAAACCTCTGAACGTGTATTTTCTTGCTGTTCGAAGCCATTGTAATGTGCGTATACTCCCCAGATAAATGGCAGACTGAGGCAGGTCGGATGAGTTTAAATGGGAGAGGTATTGATCTGTGGTTACTGAATACTGATGCTGCACAGATGATGACTCTGTGGTGTCCCGGAGAACCCATTCTGGATCGAGGTTGCCTGTCCTTACAGTGGAAGACATGCCAAGTTATATCCGTACAAACATTTGCACGACCCTCAAACTTTCTCTCTCTCTCTCTGCAGTTCTGTTTATAGGTCAGGATTTGCCTCTTAGGTTGTCCAGGCTCTACTTTAAGTCTGTCTGCTCAGGCTTTTTTAATAACTCTTAGTATGCAACTCATTCAAAGTGATGGATAGGACTCTAGGGAAGCAAAGACATGTCCTTATCATCTTTAAAGAGTCCTCTCCTGCTGATGTTCAGGTGTATATCAGTATGTAGTGTCTCTACTTTAAAGAGTCCTCTCCTGCTGATGTTCAGGTGTATATCAGTATGTAGTGTCTCTACTTTAAAGAGTCCTCTCCTGCTGATGTTCAGCTGTATATCAGTATGTAGTGTCTCTACTTTAAAGAGTCCTCTCCTGCTGATGTTCAGGTGTATATCAGTATGTAGTGTCTCTACTTTAAAGAGTCCTCTCCTGCTGATGTTCAGGTGTATATCAGTATGTAGTGTCTCTACTTTAAAGAGTCCTCTCCTGCTGATGTTCAGCTGTATATCAGTATGTAGTGTCTCTACTTTAAAGAGTCCTCTCCTGCTGATGTTCAGGTGTATATCAGTATGTAGTGTCTCTACTTTAAAGAGTCCTCTCCTGCTGATGTTCAGGTGTATATCAGTATGTAGTGTCTCTACTTTAAAGAGTCCTCTCCTGCTGATGTTCAGGTGTATATCAGTATGTAGTGTCTCTACTTTAAAGAGTCCTCTCCTGCTGATGTTCAGGTGTATATCAGTATGTAGTGTCTCTACTTTAAAGAGTCCTCTCCTGCTGATGTTCAGGTGTATATCAGTATGTAGTGTCTCTACTTTAAAGAGTCCTCTCCTGCTGATGTTCAGGTGTATATCAGTATGTAGTGTCTCTACTTTAAAGAGTCCTCTCCTGCTGATGTTCAGGTGTATATCAGTATGTAGTGTCTCTACTTTAAAGAGTCCTCTCCTGCTGATGTTCAGCTGTATATCAGTATGTAGTGTCTCTACTTTAAAGAGTCCTCTCCTGCTGATGTTCAGGTGTATATCAGTATGTAGTGTCTCTACTTTAAAGAGTCCTCTCCTGCTGATGTTCAGGTGTATATCAGTATGTAGTGTCTCTACTTTAAAGAGTCCTCTCCTGCTGATGTTCAGCTGTATATCAGTATGTAGTGTCTCTACTTTAAAGAGTCCTCTCCTGCTGATGTTCAGGTGTATATCAGTATGTAGTGTCTCTACTTTAAAGAGTCCTCTCCTGCTGATGTTCAGGTGTATATCAGTATGTAGTGTCTCTACTTTAAAGAGTCCTCTCCTGCTGATGTTCAGGTGTATATCAGTATGTAGTGTCTCTACTTTAAAGAGTCCTCTCCTGCTGATGTTCAGGTGTATATCAGTATGTAGTGTCTCTACTTTAAAGAGTCCTCTCCTGATGATGTTCAGGTGTATATCAGTATGTAGTGTCTCTACTTTAAAGAGTCCCTCTCCTGCTGATGTTCAGGTGTATATCAGTATGTAGTGTCTCTACTTTAAAGAGTCCTCTCCTGCTGATGTTCAGGTGTATATCAGTATGTAGTGTCTCTACTTTAAAGAGTCCTCTCCTGCTGATGTTCAGGTGTATATCAGTATGTAGTGTCTCTACTTTAAAGAGTCCTCTCCTGCTGATGTTCAGGTGTATATCAGTATGTAGTGTCTCTACTTTAAAGAGTCCTCTCCTGCTGATGTTCAGCTGTATATCAGTATGTAGTGTCTCTACTGGGACATGTCTTCATACTCCAATGTTCAAAGAGCTCTTTATTGTTCTCATACTGTCTGTGCTGCAGTACCTCTTTTCACCCTCTGTCTGAAACCATAACCCAGCCTGCTCTGATTGGTTAACTGGCCGGCTCTGTTGTGATTGTTCAACAGTTTAGAGATGTCCCGCCCCTTAGCCTATCACGTACAATGTGTTGGAGCGCGATTGTTACATAGTGATGACACTACGGATAAACTAAATTGTCTAATGGAGGCGTTTTTCGAAGGGCCTCTTTAGGGCTTTCAGCTGACTCTCTGAAACAAAAAGCAGTCTCAATATCTTTCTCTGTGCACGTCAAACACTGTACACTTGTTGCAGGGATGGAGCCGGTGACCTTTTGGGTTGCATAGCAGCCTTCTGTCCTTGGTGTGTTGTGTAATCCTGCTGTTTTCCATCTTGTTCAGTTCTCATGATATTCAGCCTATTGTGTAGCTTAGCAGTCAATGACCTTGTTGATATTGAAACGCACTTAGAAAGAC